AGCCGCTTCATTTGTCGCAGTTTGTCCACATAGGCGTTGCAGAGCAACTCCGACTCCGACGTCGGCTCCGAATAGACTTGTGTTGAGGCGTACATCCTCCGATATGCCGATGCATCGTTAACTTCAACAGTCAAGTCGATTATATCGGGGACGGGTTTAGATGCAAGAGTAGCAGCCATGTCCGCGTCATCGTCCACATCTTCGTTGTGGCTCTCCCACAGGCTCTCAGTGATGCAAAAATTGTGCAGCATACACGCTACATGCACCACCTTCTTGATGCTTTTCACTCTGACCCGAGGTGGAGCCTTGAAAACCCTCCACTTATTCACCAGCAGCCCGAATGCCATCTCCATCTGATACGTAGTTGACTCAAGTGAAAGTTGAAGCTGTCTCGATACAATCTTGTTGCATTTGATTGACTTGCAGTTTGCGGTCGCGTGAATGGCGTAAGCAGAGTGTTGCTGTTCGAGTAGGCATTATCACCAACGAGGTGTAAGCCAACCGGAAATACTCCACGAGACTAGACAGCTCCCATCTCATAAAGGCTAGAGCATCACCCATACCGCCCGGACTAGCACTCGTCACCGCAGTAAAGCGGCTACAGTGGTCTACATACGCTTGAACGTTGACACCATATCGTTGATAGTGTCCGGAAAAGAACGAAGAGACGCGGTTCACCTCGCGGCTATTGGGAGCTTGAATGCAGCACAACCACCCATCCACACTACCAACACATCCGACTAAAACTGGGTTTTTGACCAGACTAGCAAACGCGTGTGCTGACTGGCGCTGCTCGTACTCCGTCGCCGGAAACCTCAGCTGTAACTAATCATGAGCTTGGATAACATCCATCACTGAATGGTGATGTAAAACCGGCTTGCTAGCACCAGCAAGCGCCCGTACCGGGTGGAAAGAGTACCCTGCCAGCCACGAGATAAACATTTGTAGCTTGTTAACGGGAGTAAGGGGCTCGCTCCCTTCGGTCCGTCGACGTGATTGAGCCTCATCAACGCGCAGGCTTGGAGCCAGCAGTCGCAACAACTTCTCAAATGACTGGAATGACATCCTGTAGTACTGGCGGAACTGGCCCTCGTTTAACAGCAACTGGGAGTGGTGACGCCAGTTTAAACGCCGACGCGGTAGGCACCGCTGGCGCTCGCCCGCGCCCGCCGCGTTATCGCCGAGCAGCAAGACGCATGTCAACGCCACAACGATCTTGACGTCTCTGACCCTCTGCATCGCACGGCATCTGCCGGAACGAAATTGGCGCGGAAAGATGTATTGAGTTGGCCGTAATATTACGGCCTGGCACCTTGCACAGCCATTTGCCATGACATTTCGTGGTGCCATGGAATGGCACCGCAAGCCCTAACCACAGGTAAGATTAGCCAATTAAAAAAGGAGATGGCACGAAACTCGTGCCATGGCGCGCGGCTAAGACTGGGCCTTAAGGTCGTTCTTTACCACTCCGTGCCATACCATGGCACGGAGTAAATAAAATGGCAGGAGGTAACACGGATGGCCTTTTGCAAGTGCCATGGCAAAGGGCAATTACATGTGCCATGCTATTTTTATCTTCATTAATGTATGCTCTAAAAACAATTTTAAATGATGGCACAATGGCAGGGCAATTCTATTCGTAACCACGCCATGCCATGGCTCAATTTCTAGTGCCATGACATGGCACGCGTGGCAGTGGTTAAGAGCCACCCTAAGCCTAGAGTTTAAAGTAAATAAAATAGCAGGAAGTACCAGGGATGGCATCTGCAAGTGCCATGGCAAGGTGCAATTGCCATGTGCCATGCTACTTTATCTTCATTAACGTATGTTCTAAAAATAGTTTTCATGATGGCACAATGGCAGGGCAATTTTATTCTTAACCACGCCATGCCATGGCAGTGGTTAAGAGCCACCCTAAGGGTACAAACCTATTGTTGGGAATCCGTTCCCCCGCATAATTTAATTTAAACTGGGGTATTTTATTAACGGACGCGCCCTATTAGAGTCCGGACTATATTTAATAGTGCCGCCCGAAAGTGACAGAGAGGACTTTAAACGGGTAAGGACTTTATTCCTTGCTGAAATGATTCGTGTACCAGGTTAATATCGTCTAACGCATCATCTAACTCTGAAAGATTTAACAGATCGACGTCTTCGTTCATTTGGTTCCTTCGACCACATTTCACGAAATTTTGCGCCTTACACATCGTGCTTGGATATAAACCACGACGAGGGGTCTCTCGAGAAGCCTGCTATTTCAACGCTCCGCATGATTGTTGACTCATCCGTGTCTCGCCACGCGCGGAGGCCTCAATCGCAAACGGTGTCAACACTTGGCATACGTGGGTTACCAAAGCGAGTGTATTCGACTCGGTCTGACTCTTTCCGAGCGTTAATCTCCATGTACAGTAGGTCCTTGAAACGACATCTTTAATTTACTTGATCACCTCTTGCTTACGCCCAATGCTAACTGACTGCCTTTGATGAGGCATTATTGGAAATGACGGGAAAGTGTTTCTCTCTGTAGAATGGATGGTCAGCAAGTTTGTAATAGCAGATTTGGTAGTTTTTATAAGGACTCTATTCAGGAGGGGCTTGTATTTAATAGTGCAGGCATGTAGCACCCCACAGGACACTATTCGGTAGGGGGCTTTTATTCGGGCGCATCCGTTACGTTAAGTAAAAATATGTGGCCCACACCAAATTAGATCGAATTCTGCTTGTAAAATTTACATAGGTTTCTAAATAAGAGCATTGACACCCTCATCATCATGGCATGCAAGTATGGTGCAAGGCCCTAGTGCTATCCTTACCACATACAACATGACGTAAGGAGTTTACAATGGAGACCGCATCCTTTTATCCGTATTTCACATTTCAGTACACTAAGGGGTAAATAGGGATATCCGTCGCCTTTTGTTCAGAATGGTGGTCAGAGAGGTGAAAGTTAACTATGTACATGTATAAGACTGTAGATGATTTCTACTACCCAGTATTATAGTGTCAGACGCATCTACATGGGACTCCATGTGCCGGTACGTGTACGTAGCTACGTGACGAATTGCTCGATGAGCACGGATGATATCTTGTCGAAATGTAAGGTCGCAGAAGGAGTACTCAGTACCCGCAACGCTGTACACTCCACGAGTTTTCGTGCAAACGAGAAGCACCATCTCAAGCGATCGCATATATTGCAGACAAAATGGCAATGCGAAGGGTGTACATGTACAGTAGACGACGTCGCCTTGTTACGTATTGTCTTGTCCGCGATAAGAGAAACAAATCCTGGTGCTCAAAGTTTGCCACGAGGTAGCGTGATGCACGTTGCGTTCATGGCGTCGAAACTCACACGGCCTCACTTTCCAGCCTTTTGGGTCGAAAATCCACGAAAGCGTGAGATCTCCTATACATGTACTTACACACGCTAATGTGTGGCTCGCTGAAGCTATAGAGCCCAGAAGTTTGGGTGCGACAGCAAGCTAGCCATGCTTATCATTGAAGTGGACGTTGTGCCTGTGGATCATGTGCTGTGCAGGGAGGTTGAAGTAAGCAGAGCGGCTACGTGGCATGCAAGTGCGAGCTGGCAAGTTGCCAGTGGCAACTGAGTCGACCGTTGATAGGCGAAAAAATGCGGGGCAATTGAAACGCTGCTGCCTGACCGACGAGCGCTAGGCTTAAGTGTCACATTTAGGTGAGGAAGAAGTTGCCTTAAAAAACGTTGTAGTGGTCGCGATGCGGAATGCGCTGCGCGGTCGTCGAGAACGGCGACAAGAAGGATACCGGGACATGTCACTCATGATCAGGATAGGCAAATCGAGCTTTGCTCGGGTCTGTTTCCGTCCGTCACGTCGAACCGTCAAAGTCCGAAGGGGAAAGGTTTGATGGACTTCATGCTGTCACGTATCCACTTAGCAGGCTTAGGCAGGACCTGAAGCCGATCAAGGTGATCATGTACATGTAACGGCCCGTCAATAAGATCGGCTAGTCGTCGCCGCCCTTTCACTACTCGTCCGTTTTGGCCTAGAGGGACGCTCGTGCGTGGCAAGGGGCCGCTTGATTGGCATCTTTCAACCGCTGCTGCCGTAACGGCCTAAAGCCGGCGGAGGCTTCATGATAGGCGTGGTTGCTTGTCAAAAGGACAGCGCCCCTCCATCGCGCTGCGAGTCTCCGCCTCACGCGCGTGGAAAGATTTCCGTCTCTTCGCAGCGTTGTGCGCTGACTCGAGCCAATTTGACACGCCATCGGCACTCGCTGAGAAACCAACTCGCCAGATGACCATCATCCGGTGCACATCAAGATCGGACCCATTTTTTGCCGATCCAGGTCAAAACTGGGTAAATCAATTGGATTGTCTCTATTTTTCGAGATTTTCTGTCGGGACACTTCCGCTTGAAGAAGCAAAAATTTGAGCAGAAGACCCTTTTTGAGCCGTTATGAAGTAAAAAAGGGCCAGTTCCAATGTGGCTTCTTGTCGCGGCATCGCCAAGAGACGTGCAGATCTGCCCAGGTGTCGCTCGCCTTTCGGTGCCTGGCGCCAGGAGAGAAACTGACACCTCATGGGCCTCAGACGCTACCTTTCACTTTGCAATCCGCAACGCGCCACACCAGCTAGAACGAGTTCTTCACCGAGCGACGCCCATCAAGCCGAACTGCGCATCCATTTCAAATTATTTGAAAGGGAATAAAGTATCCACGACCGCACAACCGACTCATTACAGCAGGTCATCCCTCCCCGTCACGGCGTTGAACCCATCGCGTGAAGCCCATAAGGAGCCGAACGCTACCAGGAGAGGCGACGTCCACTTGTCCCGCATTTTAACGCCGCGTCGCACGCTGCGCGCTGATTGGCTTGCTCGATTTGTGCGTGTCGTCAATAGTCAAGCCCATACAAAAAAGGCAACTTGTGACGCATTGACGCTTGGTTCTCATTCTCAAAGTTGCCGCGTCATTCGCAAGTCTATTCGAGTCACCAAGCAACACAAATTTACCTTCACACCGCAATGGAACCACCGAGTCACGCGCGTCTTGTGGCCATGCGCCTTCTGACCGCCACGAACACGCCCGAGAAGCAACAGGCGGCCAAGAAGTCGGCGCAGTTGTGTCTGTCGCCCACGGATCCTAGTGAGGATCCCACCATGGCGCTGGCCATGGCCTCACCCGTGCTGACAGGCAAGTCAGCACCTATCACATCGCCCAACCCGGCCAAGAACCCGCTGCCAGGTCTGCAGTTCGCCATCTCTGCGCAGCGTGCGCCCAGCCGCGAGTTGCGTCTGCCATCGTTCTCCAGCCCTTCATACGAGCTCGAGGGTGCCACAGTTGCCACTAGTAGTGCAGACGAAGAGGAGAGTGAACAACCCGTAGTAGAGAAGACACAGAGACGTAAAAAGGGTACGCGTCGAGGCACACTACACCCTGAAGCCAAAAACGTCCTCAAGGCCTGGATGTTCTCACCCGAACACTTCGCCCACCCGTACCCAAGTGAGGAGGAGAAGGAGGAACTGGCTAACGAGGCTGGCATTGAAGTCAAACAGCTCTCGAACTGGTTTACTAACGCCCGGAAGCGCCTCTGGCAGCCTGTGTTGCGTCAATCTGGAGTTGAAGTTAAGAAATTCCTGTCAACAGGACGTGGCGGCCCGCGTGGCAACAAACTGGACGTGCCAGCCAACCTCCACCAGCTGGTATTGCCTTCTCCTGCGCCGAGCCCATCGAGTTCGCCTCGTAAGCGCTCGTGGTCGGCCATGCGGGATAATTCCTCGCCTTCTACAGCTTCTATAACCTCCCATGATGATTGCAAGCGTACGAAGAACAAGCGCTTAAAGAGCAACAGCTCACGCGACGAGAACACGGCGCCGCAGCTAAAAGATCTTGAGCTGCTGGCGGCTACATCACTGCTGGGCCTACAACACTTGACACAGTCGGTGCATTAATTTCGACTTGCATCGGCAAAACGTTTGATATTTATTTACTCATATGTAGGCATTTTAAAATGAAAATACAGTTAGATAAATATTGTCGTTTCCGCTATAATTTGTAGAACCAGGAGGAAAAAATGGCGTTTTTCGAATCGATTTGCTGTCATTATTAATCAATCAGAGTTTACCTGCATCACTTTGTATTTCTTCGGCAATGAGCCTGACAACCCCGGTCCGGCGCAGCTCTCCTCGACGGGTATTGCTCGACGACAGCAATCCCAGTCATGAGCGAGTAGCTCTAGGTCCGAGTCCACGCCCCTCACCGTACCAGAGGCGTAGTCCGTGTCTTCAACAACAGCAAGAGGTGGCGTCCTCGTCGTACCAGAGGCGAAGCCCCCATCTTCAACATCAGCGTGAGATGGGTTCCTCACCCTACCAGAGGCGAAGCCCGCGTCTTGAGCAGCAGCGTGAGACGCTTTCTTCGCACGATCCGTTGATCGAGCTCTCAATCGATGTACGGTTGAAGAACACTGTCAATCAGCGTCTGACATCGGGATTGCGGATGGGCACACACGCGGTTCAAAGTGACACATGGGATGAGGTGAAAAACATGCTTTGGGGCATCATCCAGCGCGAGTTAAAGCCACTAGCTATTCCGACTGGGGCACCTCCAGTCTGGACGGTTGATGAGCATGAACCAGCAATTGTGATGTTTGAGAAGTACACTTCTTTGAAGATGAACGGCAAGGTGCTGAACCCGTGGACAAGTGCTAAAGATCGTAAATATTTGCGGAAACACAAGGAGGAACCCGCCATTCTCTCTGTTTACAAGTACGGTAATGAGATATCCACCGTTGGCCAGTTTGCAGACTTTGAAGATCAGTGCATCGGTCCGGCTGCTATCGATCGTGGGGGTGCTGCAACAGAAGAGCTCCATCAACGCATGATCACTACTCTGAAGGAGAAATGGGGTGCTACGTTTAGTGCACAAGATATGTCGTGGCGCCTGTGGGCCGCACTCGTTCTCAAGAAACCCAGGCCTCAGCACGAGCAAGAAATTGCCAAGGGCCCGCCACCAAATCTAGTGACGCAGTTCAGGCCTGCGTCAAATTCAAGCGAACAGCACTTACAGCGTGTGCAGCGCAGCGTAAAGATGGCAAAGAAAGTCGTACAGGGCATGCAGACAAAGATTCAGCACTTCGAGCAAACAGTTCAAGTGCTGCAGACTGCCATCGTTTCCATGAACCAAATGCTGGAGAACCATTTGGATGTTATCGAGGCCATGGGTGAGGACGTGGTTATACAACCAGATAGTACGGAGGTCTCGTCCGTGTTAGCCGCCATTCCAAATCAGGAGGACATCGACCATGAGTGACTCTTGCTTTCAAGTACCACTAAACTCAAACCCCAAATAAGCACGCATTTCCCAGAACACTAACTTAGAAGTCATCACTTGAGCACGTATTGTCATCATCAGGATCTCCGCGCTCGGAGAACTCCAGCAATTCGTCCACGCCAAATTGCCCAGCTCGCGATATGTTCACGTACTCATCCCCCAGGGCCGAGGTCGGGTCAAACTCGCCGGTCAGACTCCACCCACAGTGCTCAAAAATATTCGTCATGTCGAAATCTTGGAACTGCTGAAGTACATTTGCAATGAGTACAGCTTGACTTTGCTTGGACCCTTCGACGTACTGCCGCTTGAATGCTTTCTTGATCAAGCCAAATAGATACTCGATCGGATTGTAAAATGGACAATACGCCGGAAGAAAAATGGGAATGATCCCCAGTGACCGCAGATAGTAGACGATGTCGGGGTGACAATGGATCTTGGCACCATCCATAATCCACACGGAGCCGCTTCCTGGATACTGGTGTACAGTCTTTTCCGAATGCGCATGTGCACGGCAGCACTCAATAAACTTAGATCGGTCAAACGTTCCATCCGTGTGAAATGTTTCCACGAGCCCATCCACAGATAAGAAACACAGCAAGGAAACCCGAGCTTTCCTATTAAACTCTCCACGAAACGCGAGCTTCTTTCCTTTCAAACAGTAGCCTCGCGAACGCAGCATGCCCCTGTTGTCAAAGCTGACTTCGTCGAGGAACTGAATGTTCATTTGACACCACTTAATCGTGCTCAGCTCCAGCGTGAAGCGCACAATATCGTTGATCTTGATGTTCATCGCACGTCGTTCGAGAACCTTCCATGTGAGCCCATGCTGATGTAAGGCCCTCCACACCGTTGAGATCGAAATGAAGCGTGCGAACTGTTGCTCAAACGCAGCCTTCGCTTCATCGAGAAATGCAACCGGGTGCATCGTGTAGAAGTCTAGCAACCACTCCCGCTGTTCTGCTGTGAGCCGACCGGTCTGCTTTGTAGCGCGGCGCTCGTAGTCGTTGTCAGCCTCGAAGCGTTGAATCCAGTTCGAGATGGTGTTAATGTGCTTGTGGTAGATCGTTGCCAGCCGGTGTTTCGACAAGCCCAGGTAGAAGTAGCCGTACAGGGCGTGCATGATGGTGTTTCTGGACGCGTGACGCCCATTGACTGCCTGCTGTATGCTTGCCATTGCCGGTATGAGTGGCGGGCGTTTGGAGCCTTCTGACTGGCTAAAAATAGCACGAATCGATTCGAAATCGATTCGCCTAAACGATTCGATTCAGGCTATTCTCACAAATTCGAATGAAACTGACAATAGTATCTTCAACCTTCAACACAAAATGTTTTCAGTGTCATCCCATGTTTCGCAAATTTGTTGCATGCAACTCTTTAGCTTTTGCGTTGCGCCTTTCGAGCCAAGAAACGTGCTCTAGCAGCGGCAATAGCGTCCTCCGTGCTCGCTTTTGCCTCCTTTTTCCGTGGTGATGAAGCCTCGGCAACTTCCTTGCGTTTAGGCGAAGTGTCACGAGCTGGCGAAGACTGTCTACCCTCGTCTGGTTGCTCACTACTTCTCGCCTTCTTGGTTGCAGGTTCGTCAAGAGATATGGAGGCTGTCTCGCCGTCATGTTCACGCTCAGCGCTAGCCGGTTTCTCACTAGTTGTCGCGTCATGTCAGTGCCTCCTTGGCCGTGTACGCACTCCGCGCATTGCTCGTCGAGCCGCCC